AAATACTCACGTACTTGTAGTCGACTCAACTCTGAGTAAAGAAAGCACCTGGACATAAACATACACAGGGCTGTCAACATGCACAGGTCAGCTATATCAGCTCCACAAGAGTTTAAACTGCATAAAACCAGTCATGACGTGTGCAGTTCACTTATTCTTTAATATTCCGTGGTAAGAACAGAAACTGCCCTGTTTGAGATCTTCAAAGACACAACAAACCACTCCCCCAAACTCAGGTTAGGTCCCTCCCCTAAGTTACAGTTTCAGGCCCCACTGGACTATGTACAATGTGCGTTGGAGCATCTCCTGTCACCCAGGAAGTGAGATGCCAAACAATGCAGCATGCACAGCTGTGCAGAGCTACAGCCAGGCAGAGTTTTCCTGTTTTTCTGTTTTCTGCCTTCAGCTTTTCCTTGCCCAACAGCTGGCAGCACTTGGCAGGTTGCAGAGCACAAGGAAAGCAGGATTGCCAGGGCTTAGGAGGCAGACCAGGCAAGGAACAGCAACCAAGTCACAGCACCTTGACTACCAGACCAGTATTGCATGCTGAAAGGACAGAAAGTGTAATGGGGGAAGGTCGTGACCCATTTATAAATACTCTTTCTGGAAGCCAGTATCTCCGTTGGCTGTTGGCAAAAGCAAAACCTTGAGTAGATGAGATTATTTTTTTCTGACCCACTACTCCTCATAGGGTTTATTAAATTTTGCACTGTTCTTGACAGTCTCCATTGGCCCCAAAAAACCTCCATCATCACCACCATTTATAAAAGTGTGTGAGGAGGAAGGAGCAGCAGAGAGGAGCTGTTATGGACTGACCCTAATCTCCGTTCCCCATCCCCCTCCGCGGCTCAGGGTGGGATGGAGGTAAAGGAGTCGGCAATGAACGAGTGAAGTTGAACCTGGAAAGAAGAGGGATTGGGTGGGAAGTTGGTTTAGATTTTCTCACCATCCAACTCTATTTTTAGTTTGCAATAAATTCAATTAATTTTTGCCAAGTCAAGTCTGTTTTGCCTGTGACAGTAACTGGTCAGTTATCTCCTCATCCTTATCTCATCTCATGAGCTTTCCCATCTTATTTTCCCTGCCCTGTCCTGTTGAGGTGTGAGAGAGTGGCTGGGTGGGCAACTGGTGGCTGGCCAAGGCTAATCCACCGCAATGATATATACAATATATACATATATGGAATTATATATAGAAAGGAGGGTATAAATGTTTATATATAAAATTTATTTATTTATAGATACATTATACACTATATTACGATACAGGTGCTACTACTATCCTATACTATATAATAGATAATAGATACACATTTATCAAGATACAGAAAAATATATAGCCCTAAAAGCAAAGCTATAAAACAGGTGAAACATTCTTTAATGACAGCTAATGGAATGAATAGGCCAGGTCGGGGTTCTGCACTTTACCAGGCTACAGAACCAAGCGCTACAGGTCCAGCGTGGGAGGACTTGAAAAGGGCAGAGGGATGCCAAAAGGGTGGTGGGGCACAGACATGTTGGAATGTGCCTGAGGGCTATGGACTCCTCCCAGGAGGCCACCAAGGGGTCCCTGGTGCAAATCCTGTCACATGCAGACACCGATCCTGTGAGTTGAAGAAGGAAAAGACCTTAAGGGAGTCCCCCAAACAGCCATGTGAACCAGAAGAACCGGCCGATGGGCTCATGAACCACAAACTGGTTTTGGAGGTGTCACACCAAGAAGGCAGGTGAAGCTCCCTTTCCCCATGGTTGTGGGGGATCTTCTAGCTGCATCTAAGAGCACTGTGGGGTGCAGGCTGCTGCTATGTATCTTGCCTTATCCTTAGGCTGATGATTTACAAAAGGTTTGAGGAAGCTCACTCTGACTGAACAAGAGGGAACTGGGAGCATGCCGTGACTCCTCTCCCTTCTGGTCTGGGCCTGCAGCAGCCAAACGAAAGAGCATGGGCACAGAAGTGACAGCTGTGTTCAAGGGGAAAAAGAAGGAAAAAGCCTGGAGAAATCTAACTGGCAACCAACTCCCCTCATATCCTGTTCACAAAGTTTCTCTGTACTTGAGCTAAATTGATTGTCCAGTGTTTCATAAGCATGTGTAATAGCATGTGAGTAGATCTCTATGCTAACAGCTTCTGTTAGCAGAGATCTACTGTCCTCCGAGGGAAGTGGGAAGCTTTGGGGGTATAAATCGCCTTTTTGAAGCTTCTAAAATGCAAATTGCTGATCTCAACAGAAGGCAGGTGGCAACCTGGCTTGCAAACCAGGATGCTTATAGATTAGACAAGGCAGCAAGAAAGCACTTTACAAGAAACAGGTGGTTGTGACAGAAGTGGATGCACCATGGGAAGCAGACTTGCTGGATATGAAACAGTTTTCCATCATAATGATGGTGTGTAATACATCTTATCAGTGATGGACATACTATCCAAACTTGTCTCAGCCATTGATCCAAAAGGCAAAACATGTTCTGAGGTAGCTGGGGCTTTTAAAACAATTTTAGAAGACAGTGCAAGCCTAAGAAATTACAGATGGACCAGCAAAAAGAATTTTTAAACCAGCCTTTAAACAAGCTGTTAAAGCACATAATGTTCACCATGCTATTACTAGGAACAAAGTAAAAGTATCTCTCACAAGGCATTTTAAACAGGATGCTCAAAACCAAGGTGTGGAGATATTTTGCAACGTACAACACTTCTTCCCATGTTGATGTGTTGTCAAAGTTATAAAGAGCTATAACAATAGTTTCCACCAAGCTATCAGAGCCAGGCCTGTGAACACGAACACTTTAAACTCGGCAAGTGTTTGGAAAACCATATATGGGGTTGTGTTTAAAATTAAAGAATGTTTGCCTCTGCTCAAAAAGGGAGACCGCATCAGGGAGTCTACAACAAAAGGGAGACTTGAGAAAGGTTATGAACAGATGTTTGCAGATAAAATTTTCAAAGTAGCTGAAATTGTGAGAAGG